TATAAATTGAAAAGTGATTTTGTCATACTTAACAGGAATCCTAAAAGGCATTTATACCCTTTGACCCAGGAATTTTACTCTTAGAAACTTATTCAAAGGAAAGTCAGAGAAACAATATAGGGGAGAAGATATTCTTTGATGCATTATTTATGATAGTGAAATAAATGGAAGGAACCTAACAATAGAGAAAAAAGGATTAACAAATTATGATATAGCAACACAATAGAATGTACAGTATGTACAGTAGTAATTAGAAAGACTGGGTGGAAACATGAAAATGTTTATGACTTAAGTTTAGATGAAAGGAATAAAATACATAATGGTTTGTAGGCTATGAAAGTAAAGGGGTAAACACACACACACACACACACACACACACACAAACACACACACATGGTGATAGATATTTTTTTAAAAACCACCACAAAGTTGAGCCAAGGGGTGGATGGTGAAGGGCACGCAGGTAAGTCTAGCTGCTTCAGCTCCTCTTTGCCCACAGATGTGGATGAGTGTGAACGAGAGGATAATGCAGGTTGTGTGCACGACTGTGTCAACATCCCTGGCAATTACCGATGCACCTGCTATGATGGATTCCACCTGGCACATGATGGACACAACTGTCTGGGTGAGCAAGGGACAGGAGATGTGGGTGGGAGGCAGCCTCGCGGGGAAGAAGGTGTTTTTAGCATTTTCCATTTCCCAGGCAAGGAGACTGTATTCCCACAAAATAGAGAATGGGGTCAGCCTTCTCTTTGAGACTGTGCACTGAGGATGAGATAAGCCTGTTGCTGAATGAAAAACATCTAAGAAGATGCTGCCGGAAAGTGCTCCCAGGGCAAGGGCCAGGAGATGACAGTAGTGGGGTTAGATACGGGTGGAGTATGGTGGGAAGAGGATTTGGCTCCAGACAGATCCTGGCTCTGCCACTTACTAGCCTTCGGGCCTTGGGCAAAGTGACTAATCTCTGAGAATCTCAGCTCCTCATCTCTAAAATGGGGATGGTAATATTACATTCAAAGGGCTTCTGGGTGAATTATCATGAAAAGACATGTGTAAAGAGCTCTGTACAATCCTTAGCACATAGTGGATGCTCAATAAACAAGAAGAATGTCTTCGATGATGATGATGCTATTGCTGCTGCTGCTGCTGCTTCCCTATGCCCTGGGGAGCCTCTGACTGTAAAGGCTGGTTTTCTCCCAGCTCTTCCTGCAATCTCCAGGCTCACCCTCTCCTCTCTTCTGAGGCCTTTATCTGACCTGACCTCCTTTGTCTCAGGAACTGGATCAGCGAGACAAGAATCTCTAGGGAACTAAACTCAACTTTGGTATCTATCATTTAGAAAATTTGGGGGACCTTATCAGATTCTTCCCCAAGTAGAAAAACTGAAGACCATAGCAGAAAGGGATTTGAGGTGTGAACCCTGGGCATTGTTCCCCAAATTCTTTCTCTCGTGCCAAAACAGATACAGGATACTGGAAGAATAGAAGAACAGGAAAGGAAGAGAAGCAAGAGAAATGAAGCTCAGAAAAGCAGGCTAGGCTGCTTCCCCACTCCCACCTGACTAAACAGATGAATTATCTGAGGTCCCATTGGCCTAGGAGAGCCTCCTTACTACAGGGTAGCCTCTAAATCTAGTCACATTCCATCCTCGGACCAAGCTTATAAGCTTTCACTCCCAACCCAGGCTTCTCAACCCCGATCCTCGCTGGGCCCTTACCCTCAGCCCCGGCCACCTCACTTACCACTGTAGCTACCAAAGAAGGACCTCATTTCTTGTCTGCCTAGTCACCTGTGAGGGCCTCTTTGGGAACACCTTCAGAAAGAGAAATTGTGACACTTGGACCAGGACAGTGAGTTACCTACAGGACTGTGAATATTAGCTTCTGAGTTCTTTGGTCACCTTTGACCTCCCTAGGCCCTCAACTCTCATTAAGTCTTGTTTCCTTATAAAACCAACTTGAAGGATAAGAAAACAAGTAGGTATGGAAGGGGTCAGAGATTGCAAAGGTCTATCTAGCCCTAACCCTAAGGTTAGAATTCAAAATCTCAACCCTATCTTTGGCTTTTAGGCGAACCCCGAGTAAGTCGTCCATGCCTTCAGTGGGCCTGGAATTAGAAGAATTAGAAGAAAGAACTTGGCTAGAGTAGCAAAGTCACAAGGTTGGAATAGAAGGGAACAAAGACGGGTGGACTGTGGGATGGGGCAAGAGCGGGAATACGGGGACGTCAGGAGTGTGACAACAGAGGGGTAGGGACAAGAACAAGGCAAAGGAAAGTATAGCGCCTGGGCTTTCCTAACAGGTGCCTCTCCCAGGCAGGAGCCTGCTGGATTCGGAGCCCTTGGCCCTTGGCCCTTGGCCAGAAGGAGAAAGGTCAGGGTTTCAGGGCTCAGCAGAGAGGATGGGAAGAGGCGGGCAGATGAAGTGCTCAGGAACCCAGATTCTAGTTGCTCCATGTGGGGACCAATCTCCCTCATGCTTCCTGGGCCAAGGAAAACTGAGAAGGGCTATGGACTTGAGAGGGCAGTAAGTAGCATATAGATGGAGTCAAGGCATTAAAGTGGGAGCCCAAGGATGAGCTTGGCTCTGGGACCTGGGGGTGGTGGTTTTGGGTGGTGATGAGGGTGTGACCTGGCAGCTCTCACCCCCACCCCTCCCCGCCAAGATACCAGACTTTGTTTTGTTAAACCAAAATAGGAGAAAGGCTAGGGAATATGGCAGCAAGCCCAGGCATGGAGGGAGGGGAGGAAGGACAGGGCCGTGGCCTGTCCACAGAAATGGTCCCTGCCCCGCAAGGAGTTGAGCCTTCCTGCCTTCGTCCACTCTGCCCCTCTGACCTCCGCACCATGGCCATAACTCTCCCTGCACAAGGAGTCATTTCCCAGGTTCTCTGATTCCCTGGCTGCTCATCACAACCAGCTGCCCCCAGTTCCTCTCCCAGTCTAATCTCTGTTCTTGCTCTGTCTTCTTTCCTGATCACCTCTGCCCTCAGACCCAATGTGAACAGGTTAGGGAAAGGGGGGCCAGTCTTCACCTAAGCGAGCCATGTTCAAACGGCCCCTCCCCACTGCTTAGCTCCACAGCTCTGCCCTCTTAGGGTGGCCTCTTCATAGCAGTGGAACAGGAGCTCATCAGTGGGTGAGCTCTGCTTGGCCTAAGGCTGGGTGTTGGGTTGGAGAGGTGGGGGAAGTGTGTGTTCTAGATTCTTAAGTTTGCTCCCAGCCCTTGGTGCTGAAGTCTCAGGGCACAACCTGGACCCTGGCCCGCACCCCCGGCCTCAGCATCCACTGTCCTGTACAGATGTGGACGAGTGTGCCGAGGGCAATGGTGGCTGTCAGCAGAGCTGTGTCAACATGATGGGCAGCTACGAGTGCCACTGCCGGGAAGGCTTCTTCCTTAGCGACAACCAGCACACCTGCATCCAGCGGCCAGAAGGTCAGCCCATGACCTGGGAGGGCCCAGCCCTGCGCTCCCAGGCTCCTCCCTCCATCTGCTCAGAAGCTTTTCCCTCAGTACCCCCTCGGTCTCACTCTCAGTTCTCAACCCCACTAACTCCTTCTCTTGTCCCTCCACCTAGTCACATCCTAAGGGCTCCATGGACAGACAGTCTGTCTTAGAGCAAAATCTGGGTAAATTCATTTGAGGTTAGAGTCAGTGTGGGATTGGGGCTACTATGGGGCATCCTCTGTGTCCAGATCTGAGGTGGACATATTAATTAACTGTAAAGGACTGAGCTCTGAGCTGCTGTTATCTGAGAGAGCCTCCCTGATGCCTTATTCCTTGGATTGGATTGGGAGGGTCAGGCAAAAATAGTGGAGTATATGTTCTCTGTTTCTGTGGCTCTCTCCCCCAGACTGTGACATTTCTGAGGGCAGGGACTATGTCCAATTCATCTTTGTATCCCCAGAACCTAATATACTGCCCTGCATGTAGTGGGAGCTTAATAAATATTCTTTGAATAAAATCATATAGTTATTATCTGTACTAATTACTCCCCACTCACATTATGTTATCTTCCCAGTTTGGCTCTAAGCTCTTTGAGGAATGAGATCATGTCTCATATTTTATCTCATGTATACGTCCTTCCTAAATCCACCCAGAACCTAACACAGCACTGGGCATCTATTAGATACTAGCTTTTGGTTGTTTGAGGGGGAGGGTGATCATGCAAGTTTTGGGGGGACAGGGTATCGATACCTATATATCATTCAGAACAACTCTGAGCTCTGCTCATTAGCACCCAGCTCTGTGAGCAGGACAGGGAGCCTGTGAGGGGAAGAGTCTGTCTCTCTGTATGGCAGCCTCGGTGGAATTCTCCCGATTTCCTAGGCACCATATACCCGCTCTAGTTCCTCTTCCTCTAGGCGTCCAGAAGTACGGAGCAGTCACTCCCTACCTCTTCCCTTTTAGAAGGAATGAACTGCATGAACAAGAACCATGGCTGTGCTCACATTTGCCGGGAGACACCCAAAGGGGGGATTGCCTGTGAATGCCGCCCTGGCTTCGAGCTCACCAAGAACCAACGGGATTGTAAATGTGAGATACTTGGGATGGCAGTGGGAGACATGGGGAGACAGGGAGACAAAGGGAGGGGTGTGGGGCCTCAACGGTAAGAGGTGGGAGGAAAAGGGAGCATGGGAGAGGCAACCAGATAAAAGGGCCAGTAACTGTGTTACGGAGAACTGTGGTACCCAGGGAGAAGCAAGCTGACAGGCCTCCTGCCCTCTCTGCACAGTGACGTGCAACTATGGTAACGGTGGCTGCCAGCACACATGCGATGACACAGAGCAGGGCCCCCGGTGCGGCTGCCATGTCAAGTTTGTGCTCCATACCGACGGGAAGACATGCATCGGTGGGTGAGGCCAGGGGAGAACTCAGTCCAACTGTGAGTGGGGATGGGGCAGGGGCCCTTGGGAACCAAGGCAGCGGGGTGCACGTGGAGCCCAGGTGCTGGGCACAAAATGATTGGTGACTGAGTTGAAGATTCAAACAATGCAAGGTCTAGTGCGGGACAACTCTGAGGGATTGACACGCTCACCTGACCCTCTTCTCCTTTCCCACCTGTTGGTTCCACTGCCTCACCGCCCGGAGCCTCGCCAACCTCTTTATCCAGGACAAAGTGCTGCCAAACTGGGAATAATTAATTAGCAGTGGTTCTTGTTGACCAAGGCTATGGCTGATGGAGGGGAGGAGGTCTGGGGCAGTGCAGGGTTGAGCCTGACCGGAGGCCCTGGCTGGTGGGTGCGGTGAGATGGGAGCTGTCATGGCGGGCTGTCCCCACCTGGAACTGAGGGTGGGACAGAGCGCTCTTTCCCGGAACAGCCAGCCCTGAACTGACAAATGGGGTTTCCTGACTCCAGGTATCTTTTTCCTCTTTATCCTTTCTCTCCTCACTCTCCTCCTACAAACCCCTCTTCCACTCCCCTCACCTCAGCCCCCCATTTCCTTCTCTCTCCTTCACATCCCAGAGGTACTGCCTCTCAGCTCTGCCTGTGGCCCTCTCACTTCCTCACCAGCTCCAACCTTCCATCCCTCTTGCCCTGATTTGCGGCCTTAACACCTGGATCCCTTTCCCTGACTTGCTAAGCCTTACCTCACATATCTTCAGGTCCCATAGATGGGTTTAACTTCTTAAATGTAATTCCTAATTCCCTAAGCCTTTAGGTCTTTCATGAAGGCCAATTACTACATGTTCACAGAGTACTGAAAAAGATGATGGGATGAGTGTCTCCTTGGAGAAGTGGGAAATAAAAGAGTTTGGGCAGGGGGAAAGGCTGTGCCTTGAGCCAGGCACGGGGTGAGCTTGTTCTGTGGGCACAGTACTTATGGATGGCCATTCACCTCGTGGGCTACAACATGCTGGGGGTGGGGAGGTGTGAACACCTGCAGTTACTCTGCATCTATCAGAGACATGACATTCAGCTTAAGAACCAGACTCTCCTCCATCTCACTCCAGAGACCTATTCCATCTCTGCAGACAGCACCGTCTTTCCCCCAGACACAAGAACAGGGGAACAGATGATGCTCTTAAAGCTCTCCCTCAGGTACCTGCTCCAGAGACTCGTGCACACAGTTCTGAAGTTCTCTAATTAAAACCTTACCTGCTACGTGTTTCCCTCTGAACTAACTCTTCAAAGAGCTTGGAACATTTTTAGGTCTTCACGTTGCCTTCTCTAGGCTGATTGTTCCAGCTCCTTTAATTTTTCCATCATAAATCTAATTCTGCTTTCCAACCTCCTACCATCCCCTAGACACACTCACACATCCCCAGAGTCTCCCAAAAGAAATTGCACGCAGTCCCCAAGGAAAAGCTGCATGTATCAGAACAGAGCTCGGGGCCTGTAGTTGTGCGCAGGTCCCACTCAGGTTCCTTTCTATTCAGATGGTCCTGGGCATGGCTGCTTTTGAAAATACCCCTTAAGCTTGAGCTCTTCCCTAATGCAAGACCCATTCTGCCTTCTAGGCCTCAGCTAAGTGAGGTAGGAGAGAGCAAATGAGGCTGTTCTAAGGTTCACAGCCATGTTCTTTCCGACTTCCCTCTTCTCCAAGAGAACTTATTTTACCTTGCCCTGCACCTCATTCTTCTCCTCAGCCCTGGTAGGAGGATATTTCATTGTTTGGGGCCATCAAGACATTCAGATTTGGTAGGGAGATTGAGGGCAGTATAGTTTAGCAGAAAGGGTGGGTGGGCAGCTTACAAGATTTTGAGGTTAGATTCCAGCTCTGCCTTTGGCATGCTGTGTGGTACTGGGCCCATGACTGCCCTTCTCTGAGACTCAGTTTCTCATCAGTCATTTGGTGGGAGCCCAGCTTCTTTGAGGATTCCAGGCAGGACAAGGCTGGGGAGTGAAGTTTTGGAGTCACAGGGCTAGTCACATGGGACTAGTGGTTTGGGCCTGCAGGGTTGGAGGGGGGCGTGGCCTGGGGGCACAATGGGCCACAGTGGCTCCTGCCCAGCATCTAAACAGCTTTTTTACAATGTCAAACAGGGGAAAGGCGGCTAGAGCAGCACATCCCCCCTCAGGCCGTTTCTAATGGTAAATATGTCTGCTCTCTCCGCTTGCTCTCACTGGCTTGCTAGGGGAAGGGCTAACCCGCTGGGGCTCCCACTAACCGCATGCCCACTGGACCCAGTCTGTCTGGGCTCCAGCCTGCCAGCAGGGCTCCCCTGGCAGCCTGGGTACTGGACCCACTGAGTGTCTCCTGAGTCCCCAAGAGCTGGCCCAGGAGCCTTCGTGTTGGTTTTGTCTTTGTTTGATCCTGTCACCCTCCTTCTCTCCTTTCCTGCTCCTTCCTTCCACCTTCTCCCTCACCCACCTTCTAACAACCATCTGCCTCCCTCCCTTTCTCTGCCTTATACACAGCTGAAGACCCAGCCAGCTCCACTTACCCATTGTGTCCACTGTGCTACCTGAGATAGGGGCAGGCTAGGATTTAGAAGTCATCCTCTCCTTGGGGCTTCTTACCCACATTAGCGCACAGTCCCAGCATCACTCACCAGCCTCTTCCATCATAATAGAGCATGACATGTGAGTTCAGACAGACCTGAGTCTGAATTCTGGCTCTGCCACCTTCTAACTGTATGATTTTAAACAAGCTACTTTCCTTTCTGATCCTCTGTTTATCTTCTGTAAAATAGGGAGGATGAGTCCTCCCTTAGGGTTGTTGTGATGATTGAGATAGTGCATATAGAGCATCTATTAAGCTCTTGGTGCAGAGTAAGTTGTAATTTTAATACTGTGACCTGAAAAGCAAAGGTTGAAGCCATGCCATCCTGCTGCCCCAACCCTGCCCTAGAGAACACTATCCTATAGGGGCGGGCAGCTATGCCTAGCTTTCTGTCAACCTGGGATGGACATTGTGCCAGCTCTGCTGCTTCCCATCCTGGATCCCTCAGAATCTACCTGGACTTGGCACATGATCTCTGTTCCCCTCTCCCTGCTCCAGGGCTTGGGGGACCTCTTCTTGTGCTAAGAACATTCTTGGAGGGATGGCTGGGTTCAGAGCCTTAACTCAAGGTTCCCTCCCACGTTCCTTCCATGATCTTGAGGAACCTCAGGAGAGACTAAAGTGGGAGTTGCACATAGGAGATCACACTGTGGCTGCTCCCAAACCTGGGCATTTGAGGGACCAGGGCATGACCAGGGACTGACAGGAAGAGCTGGCCTTCTTCTGGTGCCTTTGCCTTGGCGGTCTCCTGGGTGAGACCAGAGTTTTAGGAGTCAAAAGATTCAAGATGATAGTAGTCTCTGATGCCTTTCTCATCAGTTCTCCTGATTCTAAGGACCACTCACCTCTCTTCTCTAGTGGAGGTCAGGGTCTTGAGATTTTGTCTAATGAGAGAATTCTAGGTCCCCCAGAGGATGGCCTTCACCTCCTCACAGTCCCTGTGTTAGGGCCTTGCACTATTTGAGCTGATGGTTTTTCCCTTGGCTCACCTGACACTCCTGGGCTGCAATTTAAACCTGTTTTTCTCCTACTCTGAATTCAGAAAATAGGGAGAGTGACCTATCCATACTTCCCCTACTCTAACCTCTCAGTGACAGGAAAATTTACCAGTCAAGGGGAGGGGGGCAACAGAAGACCCTCAGCTCTGAGGTTCTCTCCTTCACCTGTCTTCTTATACCTTTCCTTCTCTGATTCTTCTTGCGCCCCCTCCTTTAACCTCCCCTAAACCAGTCTTCGGATTAGGAAAGTTACAACAGAACAGCCAGCTTACCTCCATCTGGTACTAAAAGGAGGGCTCAGAAGGAGCTGGAGGTGGCCTGGAAGGGGCTAGGAAATGACCGAGTAGGTGCTGTCTCCTCTGAGGATGACCAGTCAGTAATGGAACTAGGGTCTTTCTTAAGACAGCTGGGCAAGGAGGAAGAATTGATGGTCATCCCTCAAATGTCTTAGGAATCACCAGGCTCACTCCTCCCAAGAATGTCCCACCATGACCCACTCCCCCCCCACCTCCCCCACCAAATAGATAGTCAGTAGACAGAGGAAGAAACTCTTGTCTGTCCCTTCTTGTTCCCTGGCAGCGATTAGCTCCCATCCCTCCTTGCGCCCTCCCCTCTCCACCTCCTCCACCCCCTCAGCACATTCTTGCCTGACAGCTCTGGCTTGTACCTGCCTCACTGCTGTCCACCTTGTTTCAATCAAGTAGGGGGGCAGGGAAGTGGACTGCTTGGCTGCACTCGTGAGGGGATGGGGGCTGGGAGCCTCTGCTTGATGCTCCTAAAGCACAGGGAGGCAGCTGAGGCCTTCCCTTTGGGCCTCTATGCTCTCCATTATCTTAGAGTTTGGGAGTCCTCCAGCCCCATAACTGGTTGCCATCTCCTGCCTCCCTCCTAAACAGAGACCTGTGCTGTCAACAACGGGGGCTGTGACAGTAAGTGCCACGATGCAGCAACGGGTGTCCACTGCAGCTGCCCTGTGGGCTTCATGCTGCAGCCAGACAGGAAGACCTGCAAAGGTAAGGGCGTTCAGAGGACAGGAGTGTAGGGGTAAGGGGCTGAGGTTGGGATCTAAGATGACACCTAATGTGGGACCACGCCTCCTCAACCCCATGGAGGCTACCCTGATTTTAAAGAACTGTGGATGTAACTAAGACTTGTCTTCTGTCTGCCTTTCCCATCTCAGTTCAAGGGGCACAAAAATCTAACCAGTTCCTTAGTGTTCCCTGCACTATCTTGTTTTCTCTATTCTCATTCCTATCCTCTATGGGTCCCCAATCCTCTTTGTTAATGAACGTGCCATTTACATTTGTCCCTGGGTCTAGGATATTTGAGCCCTGTGTGTACTCAGAGTCACAAGTGTGTTCCATAACCTTCTTAACCCACATTCCCAAGACCTTCCCTGTGAAAAGACTATAATGGTCAGAGGGAGAATAGGGTAGCAGTTGAAAGCACTGATGCTGGAGTCTGGCTACTTAAGTTTAGATCCCAGCCCCACTTCTTATTGGCTCTGTGATACAGGGCAAGTTATTTAGTGTCTCTGTGTCTCAGTTTCACAATAATTGTACTTGTCAAATGCTGTAAGGGTTAAATGAGTTATACATAAAGTACTTAGAACAGTATCAAATGATAAAACACTTTGTGTTAGCTATTATAATTTCCCACATTGTCCAACCTATTTACCTTCCTTTAATTAGCCAGGTCTAGGGGAAAGGTGAGGGGGGCGGAAGGGGCCGGGGCGGGGGAGGAGAGTAGCCATACCGAAAATAATGATTCATCAGGTCTGTGTTCCCTGGTCACAAGGAGTAGGGACTGGTAGGAGGTCTGGACTCATTCTTTGTGTCTTTTGGCCCAACAGCTGGCAGAGAGGATGGGGGAGGGCTGGGGCAGCAGGTCAGACAGCCAGAGTTGAGAGGTTTCCTGCTGGGAAGGACTGTTGACAGGTATGCTAAGAGTGAAGTGTAAGGCTGCCCTCCCTGGCCCTTCCCCCAAGTAGGGGTGAGTAGCCTGGGCCCTGTCTGCCACCAGCTTGGAGAACTTGACCTCAGGAAGGAAGCTGCTCACCCTACCCCCCTTCTCTTCCTAGTGCTGAAAGCTGCCTCAGGCCTGAGTTTCTCCAGACCTCTCCCAGTCCAGCCCCCTGCCTGGCCCATACCCCTCCCCCATCAGCTACCCAGCCTCACTGGCTCTTTGGAGGTCCTCCCCGCCTGGCCTGTCTCCCAGCTTCTCCTCTCTGAAGGGCTGCCCCTTTGAATCTCGACCTCTCTGTGCTGCCTCCTCATCTGCCCTCCTGGGCTGTGACAGGCAGAGATGTCGCAGAAAGGGATAAACCCTATCCACCAGCCTTTTGGAGAAGGGCCATAAACAGCAGAATGAAGGGCATGGACTAGCCCTGCAGGTCAAATGCCCACCACTTTGTGCTCCAGGCAACTCTCTGAGGGCCTCGCTCTGGTTCCCATGTCCCCCTTCTAAGAGGACTCAGTCTGAGGAAAGGTGTTCTAATGGCACAGATCCCCTGAACAGGGAGGAAACAGAGATGAGAGAGTGAAAATCAGAGGGGCAGGCTCAGGACTCTCTTTGATTTTCCATCTCTGTGAGGGAGGGATCTTTTATCCTTATTTGTCCTCAGCCTTCAGTACTACCTTTGATTTTCTCTTTGTCCTGCTTTCCCAGACATAGATGAGTGCCGCTTGAACAATGGAGGTTGTGACCACATTTGCCGCAACACAGTGGGCAGCTTTGAATGCAGCTGCAAGAAGGGCTATAAGCTTCTCATCAATGAGAGGAATTGCCAGGGTGAGCAGAATTGAGCTAAGGGGAAAGCCTTGGAAAGGTTCTTGGGGTAGGAGAGCTTCAAGGAGGCCAGAGTCTGAGAAACTCAGTAGACACTGTGGAGAGTTTCCTTAAGCAGTGCTGCGCTGCGAGTTAGTAAATGTATGCCTCCTTGGTGGCCCAGTATTACGACTGGGGCACATAACTTGGCAAGGATTGAGGGCTGGATTTTACCCCAATTCATATCCTTGGCAGGGTCTGACCTGCCTAAGTGGCCCTGATCCCTAGGCATCAGATCTTGCAGTTCTTGATTCCAAGGACTCCAAGTGGAGGGAGCACAGGGGATGGGTAGGCATTGCTGAATTGCTAGGGCTGGGCCATGAGTAAGGACTTTCAATTTAAGGGGGAGAGCCAAGGCCCCTCACTTGGGCCCTTCACCTGAGCAAGGGGTCCCAGGTCAAGTCTCTCAAAACAGATTCAATGGCTTAAATTCTTGCTCTTCCAGATATAGATGAGTGTTCCTTTGATCGAACCTGTGACCACATATGTGTCAACACGCCGGGAAGCTTCCAGTGCCTCTGCCATCATGGCTACCTGCTGTATGGTGTCACTCACTGTGGGGGTAAGCCAGCAATTTGGCCCCTCTCACCTCCTCACCCTTCAACTGAACAAGCCTTGTGGCTATGGGCAATCCCCAGGTACACGTGCCATGTCTGCATCCATCGTGATGAAATGGGAGGAATTAAGACAACTGGGAATCAGGTATCAGGGAACAGCAGCCTGCCTCCAAAGTTTTTATCTGCCATCCCCATCACTGTTCTTTGACTCCCGTCCTTAGTTCCCAAATTACAGCCCTACTCACAAGTAGGAGTGGAAGGCTTTAAAAAGCTCATCAGCTTGGCCCCTTCTCGATCATCCTTTTGACTGTGGACAGAGATAAGTGAAGGAAGTCTGAGGTTTGAGCTCTTCTCAAGCCAGTAGTCATCTTGAACCAAAGGTCCTTACTGTCCGCTCCCTGGCTACTTCTCCCCGCCCCCCCCCCCCGCCCCCCCAACCCCATGTTTATCTCTGTCTCCCTACTCCTTCTTCTAGATGTGGATGAGTGCAGCATCAATCGGGGAGGTTGCCGCTTTGGCTGCATCAACACTCCTGGCAGCTACCAGTGTACCTGCCCAGCAGGCCAGGGCCGGCTGCACTGGAATGGCAAGGATTGCACAGGTGGGCAGCACCCTCTGCTGGCCATAGATGGCACTGCGGTTTCATGAAGGCGGGCAGGGGGTGAGTGGAGAGGGGGTAGTGAGGAGTTCCATGTTGAGGAAAGTATGAGGTAGTAAAGGGTGGAGAAATTAGCCATTTGAGTTAGAGATATGAAGTTTTCAGTAAATAATCCCTTCATTCCTGTCCCTTTGTCAGATTCCATGTACAATTATTCTGCATGTAGCTAATTCTCTTCCTCCAAATTACCCAGTTCGGGGAGATGGGGAGAGAGGAAGGCCCTCTCTTCCTCAGGCTTTTCTCCCCTCCCTAGAGCCGGTAAAGTGTCAGGGCAGTCCTGGTGCCTCGAAAGCCATGCTCAACTGCAACCGGTCTGGCAAGAAGGACACCTGTTCCCTGACCTGCCCCTCCAGGGCCCGGTTTTTGCCAGGTACAGAGAAGAAGTTGCTGGAGGGCTGGTGGGGAGGAAATATGGCTGTTCAGGCAGCTCATCTGCTCCCCTTAGAATCTTTCAACTAGTGGGAGTTGTGGGGTCAGGTCAGAGCTGTGACAGCCTCTTTTTCTCAGAGTCTGAAAATGGCTTCACGGTGAGCTGTGGCACCCCCAGCCCCAGGGCCACTCCAGCCAGAGCTGGTCACACCGGGAACAGCACAAACTCCAACCACTGCCATGGTGAGCACCAGCCCAGAGGCCTGTTTCCACCCTATTCTCTTGCTTATTGACCCCTTTTCCTCTTCTTCATTAACTACCCTGGCCTTTTTTCTGGATTCCTTTCTTTGTTCTGTAATTCTCCAGCCCTGCTACCATCTCTCTGCCCCTAACATCTGATTTCCTTGGCTTTCCTAATCCCTCTCCTCCAGCCAAGCCCTTAGCTTATCACCCAGCTTCTCAACACCCTCCACAGCAACCTTACCCTCATGGGGCCCCCAGGCTGTGCTGAGTTTCTACCATCCCTCTAGAGGCTGCAGTGCTGTCGGTTAAACAGCGGGCCTCCTTCAAGATCAAGGACGCCAAATGCCGTTTGCACCTGCGAAACAAAGGCAAAATGGAGGAGGCCAGCAGAATCCTGGGGCCAGGTCTGGACTGGGGACCACACTCCAATGGGCTATCTGGCCACCAAACCCTTCCCATCTCTCAGCTCTTCTGCTTAGCGAGATCTCCAAAAACCCACTGGCACCCTGAACTCTGTAAAGAGCAAGGGCAAAAGCAGTTGTAGGCATAGGCTCAAGGAAGTCCTAGGATATTACTCACACCAACTAATTAGTATCCTAGACTAGAAGAGAATTGAGATAGTTGCAGTCAAGAGATCTAGTGAGGTCTGTCTGGCTTGGGGTGGAAAAGTGAGAGCTGGGAGTGAGAACTCTCTCTGTCCCCAAGGGATGCCCCTGGGGTTAACAAGGCCTCTCCCCCAGGTGGTGCCCCCTGCTCTGACTGCCAGGTCACTTTCATCCACCTCAAATGTGACTCCTCTCGGAAGGGCAAGGGCCGGCGGGCCCGGACCCCTCCAGGCAAAGAAGTCACTCGGCTCACCCTGGAACTGGAGGCAGAGGTCAGAGCCGAAGAAACCACAGGTGGGACTGGGGGCACTGTTGGAAGGAGGGTGGAAAGGGGAGGGCAGAGGTAGGGAAACAACAGGTCTCAATAGCAAAGGGACAGGTGGAGCCTGTACTAAGGGCAGACCCTGCCTAATGCCAAACCCAAGAGCCAGTCCCTCTTACCTTAGCTCCGATCTTTGCTCCCTTGTCCTCCTGTTCACACTTTCTTTCTCTTCCTTCCATGACCCATACCACCATCCACCACCAGCTGGCTGTGGGCTACCCTGTCTCCGACAGCGGATGGAACGGCGGCTGAAAGGGTCCCTGAAGATGCTTAGAAAGTCCATTAACCAGGACCGCTTCCTCCTGCGCCTGGCAGGCCTTGATTATGAGCTGGCCCACAAACCGGGCCCAGTAGCTGGGGAGCGAGCCGAGCTGGTGGAGGCCTGTAGACCTGGGCAGCACCGCACTGGGGCCAAGTGTGGTAAGGGAGCTTGCGGGGATACAGGGGATCATGGGAGTGGGGAAGGCCCACCTAGGGCCTGACATAGAGCAGAACACTTTATGGCCTCAGTTGCATCTCTTAAATTGTGAGGCAGCCAAGACCCTCCTGTCCAACATCCTCCCCTCCCTAGTCCCAGACTGAAATCTAGAAGGACAACAGGTAGGACCAACAACCCTCCTGCACATGGCTTTGGTTCCTAACTCTTTCAAGCAGGATTCTGTTTCCAGACAAAGTGATTCTCCTTGAATCTGGGGGAGTGGGGAGTCCTAGGCCTGGGTGGTGGGAAATAGGGGGGGTGGGTGGCTAGCGCGGCCGACTCTCCCTCAGTCAGCTGCCCGCAGGGAACGTATTACCACGGCCAGACGGAGCAGTGTGTGCCATGCCCAGCGGGCACCTTCCAGGAGAGAGAAGGGCAACTCTCCTGCGACCTTTGCCCTGGGAGTGATGCCCACGGGCCTCTTGGAGCCACCAACGTCACCACATGTGCAGGTGCCAGGGGAACAAATAATAGAGTGGGGTAGGGTGGGCACTGGGACGCCCATGGGCATGGGATTTCCCAAGGGCAGGCCCAGGCTCCAGGCCACTCGCCTAGTCAACATCCTGTTTTGTGCCTCTGTCCCCTGAGACTGGGTGACCCCAAAGGGATGATCAGGTCCATCCCCATCAGAGTTGGGCCCTTGGTTCATTGCAGGTCAGTGCTCACCTGGCCAACACTCTGTAGATGGGTTCAAGCCCTGCCAGCTATGTCCACGTGGCACCTACCAACCTGAAGCAGGACGGACTCTGTGCTTCCCGTGTGGTGGGGGCCTCACCACCAAACATGAGGGGGCCATCTCCTTCCAAGACTGTGACACCAAAGGTGAGTGGGCTACTCACCCCACTAGGGGACTCCCCTACCCAAACTACTTCCCCAAAACTCTCCAGATCCAAGTTTGTTACCCGCCCCATCTTCCCCAAACCAGGAAAGGTCCAGCTGCCTGACCGACCACACCATCCTGCTCATAGGACCCATCCTGACCCTCCGTAAGCCACAAGCCTGGGAATTGGGGAACAAATAGCAGTCTCAGTTACCACTCTGCTTTGGCGAGCTAGTGGCACATTCCCTTCAATACTGCAAATGAGTTTCTGTATAAGTCTGGCACTATGCTCAGTTCCTGAAAGAAAAGGATTGCCAACCGCTCTATCAAGTTTGTTTTACCCTGGGCTTAAATTCTGGCTTGACTAGGAAAAGTTGGAACTCTGGAAGGAACTTTGGTGTCTTCAGTCTCCTGATTCTCCAGAACGAATGTGTCCTGCCCATCCCATGCCCCAGAACTCCCAGTTGCCTACCATCTAAACTCCTCCTTTCCCCCTTGCCTGCAGTCCAGTGCTCTCCGGGGCACTACTACAATACCAGTATCCATCGCTGCATTCGCTGTGCCATGGGATCCTATCAGCCTGACTTCCGTCAGAACTTCTGCACCCGCTGTCCAGGAAACACAAGCACTGACTTCGATGGCTCTACCAGTGTAGCCCAGTGCAAGAGTAAGTGGCAGACCAGGCGGTGGAAAAGGGGTTAGAGATGGCTGAGAGCAATGGGTCTGGGAAGAAGTGGATTGGGGCAGTAAACTGACAGGGAGCAGGGCTGAGGAGTAGATGGGCAGGAAAATCCTACCCTCCATTTCTCCCCAACCCACTCAACCTCAAGACCAGTTGCTGGGCTAGGCCCTATAGCACCCTCTCCCTGGAGACAGGTGATGGAGAGGCAAAGACAGGTGAGGTGAGATGAAAAGGTACTAAAAGAGCAGGAAGGAAGGTAGACCCAGAACTTGGAGAATAATGAACTAGGAAGGTGGCTACCTACATGTGTCTGATTTCCACTTCAGAACTCTTCAATTTCCCTGACCCATTTCCCCACTGACTTCCCTTTTCTTTCTTGCTCTGTCCACCGGCGCTTGGCTACAGATCGTCAGTGTGGTGGGGAGCTGGGTGAGTTCACTGGCTATATTGAGTCCCCCAACTACCCAGGCAACTATCCAGCTGGTGTGGAGTGCGTCTGGAACATCAACCCCCCACCCAAGCGCAAGATCCTTATCGTGGTACCCGAGATCTTCCTGCCATCTGAGGACGAGTGTGGGGACGTCCTCGTCATGAGAAAGAACTGTGGGTGGCTGCAGAGCTGGGCCAGGGAAGGGTAGTTCAAATCTGGTTGGGAGGGAGAGAGAGAAGATTGGTACAAGAAGAAGTTGGGCAGTGACCAGAGAGGGCCTGGGAGGAAAGAAGCTAACAAAGGAAATCAGCAGTGAATGCTACATGTCCAAAGGACAGCAGAGTTAAGAAAGCCAGCAGAGTTAAGAAAGCCAGCAGTGGGACTAGAACTCCAGTAGTGTTACATGGGTCACTTTCCTATTCTAGCATGTTTGCCATCCCATTCATTTAAATGGCAAATTTCTTACACTATGTGAGTGCCTGGATGTCAAAGAGGAGTTGTGGAACGAGCCCAGGGCAGTGGGAGACAATATGTACATCTTGTGGGGTGAGGGAGGTGCATGCACAGGGGAGAGCCTCTGTCAGCATGGTTCCTTTTCCCAAGCCCTGCTGTGCTCCTGATCTGCTGCTTGCCTTCCCAGCCTCCCCATCCTCCATTACCACCTACGAGACCTGCCAGACCTATGAGCGCCCCATCGCCTTCACAGCCCGCTCCAGGAAGCTCTGGATCAACTTCAAGACAAGCGAGGCCAACAGTGCCCGTGGCTTCCAGATCCCCTATGTTACTTATGATGGTAAGCATTGGCAGCAGAGCCAGGGAGGTGGGTGAGAAAGGGCAGGCTCATGGGCTTTGGGAGGCAGCAAGGGGAGCAGGAAGAGTTCCAACCCCTAAACCCCTCTCCTTGGTTGACTTTGCAGAGGACTATGAGCAGCTGGTAGAAGACATTGTGCGAGATGGCCGGCTCTATGCATCTGAAAACCACCAGGAGATTTTAAAGGCAAGTGAATATAAACAATATGAATGTGTAACATCGTGCAGGGAATATGCTAAGTGCTTACATGAATATTCTCATTTGATACACACAACAGCTCTATGCAGTAGCTACTTTCCTCATTCCCAGTATACAGATGAGAAACCTGAGGCACAGAGAATTACAGAACTTGCCCAGTGGTAAAACTGGGATTTGAGCCTAAATTCGTCTGATTGTAGTATCACGCACTCCTTGGGAGAAGAGAAAAAGATGAGATGAAATGTCTCCTACCTCTTCCGTCAAAAAACATAGGGAAAATGAGGTATAGAAAGGTGCTTTTGCATAAGTCCCCTCCTTCTTACTCCCTCCTCAGCTCCCACAGAAAAGCAGATTAGCACAGCATTTCTCAGTTAATTCAGTACAGTCCTCTTTTAAAGGAAAGGAAATGTTCCCAATATTAAAGAATGGACTAGACACCTGGGTCCATGAATCCCAGTTTGAGAAAATCACTGAAGAAACTATGGTCCTAGTCCTAGTATTATCCTTCACAAATTATTAATGCAAAAAATTTATCTGATTAATGATGTTTGTATTATCATCAAAATAAGAGACGTGATGACAAAAATCTCCTAGAACTTGCAGACTGCAAAGGATATAATTTCAGCAATGCTTTTCAAACATTTTTTTAAAGCACCTGTACTCTTATTATAAATGTGCTGTGGAACTGTTTTGATTAAGTGGAGATGAAAGGCTGGAAGCCCTACCTCTTATTTTAAAAATCCGCTGATGCAATGGAAAGAACACTAGCCTAGAAGCCAGAAGGTCTGATGTACACTGGATGACCTAGTAGGTCCTCCACATATGTTGCTATTGCAGCAGGGTGATCAGTAAAGGCCTCTGAGCGGAAGAGACCTGAATGAGATAAAGGACCATGCATTAAACAATCAAGAGAAGAGTGTTCCAAGCTAAGAAGCATGGGAGCGGTGTAGCATGTTCACCTTGAAAAGCCCATTGTGGCTCAGCAGAGTAAGGAAGAGTCGAGGGGGATGAAAGATACAGAGGTCACAGATCACATTCCGCTTATGGGCTATGCAAGGCACTCACCTTTACTCAGTGAAAAGAACCAGAGAAGTGTTTTCAATGGAAAAGGACATGATCTAATTAAAAACCAAAAAAGTCACTCTGGCTGTTGTGGGTAGAAGCAGAAGGTAAGCAGAAGCATGGAGACCAATTAGGAGGCTATTGCAATAGTCCAAGCGAGAGATGATGGTGGCTTGGACAGGTAGTAGCTATGGAGACACTGAGAAATGGTCAGACCCTGGATTTATTTTAAAGGTAGAATCAAAAGGATTTGCTGTGGTTGTGAGTAAAAGATAGGAGTCAAGGATGATTTCAAGGACTGGGACCTAGGCAATGGCAGGATGGGGCTGCCATTGACTGAGTTATAGAATTCTAAAGGAGGAACAGATGGTAGGGTGGGAATCCAGAGTTCACCTCTGGGTATATCTATTAAACATCAAGAGAGGCTGCTACTGAGTTGAAGCTGGGTTCCTCTTTCCCACCCTTGATGCTGAGGCTGACATTGCCACCTGCCATCCTCTGCAGGACAAGAAGCTCATCAAGGCCTTCTTTGAGGTACTGGCCCATCCCCAGAACTACTTCAAGTACACAGAGAAGCACAAAGAGATGCTGCCAAAATCCTTCATCAAGCTGCTCCGCTCCAAAGTTTCCAGTTTCCTGAGGCCCTACAAATAGTACCTCTAGGCCCAAGACCCAGGTTTTGAAGACCCCAGACTCCTTAGCCCTCAGAGCCGGCAGCCCTTACCCTCATACAAGGAATTCTCTCCTCTCTTTGGAGAAAAAAAATATCCTGTACAGACCACAAACTCTCCCTTTCTGTCTCTCTAGCTTCCTTTCTTTGTATCTCTCTGCCTCTCTCTCACTCTCTTTCCTTCTCTCCTGTTTTCTCTTTTCCTACATGCTCCCTGGAAAAGCCATTCAGTGCTGGCTCTATTCCCCCAAGCGGTGAAGAAACGGTACCTCCATCCCCTCCCCAACCACACTACCCATTTTACCAGCTCACATCCCTTACTCCATTAGCTTGGAAGGGTGCTAGAGACCTACCGAAAGAAGTGGGTCTAGTGGGGAATGGGGAGAGAGAAGAGGGGTTTCTCCCATTATAGGGTTGTGCCTTGCCAGTCAGGAGCCCAAATGTTCCCTGGCTGTGCCCCCCAGGTGATTCTAAAAGCCCAGGGTTCTGCCAAAGAAGCCTTTGACTTGGAGGCTTAATGCCAGCACTAGTCCTCTGGGACACGTGGTTTGAGCCCTGAACTGCCCACAGAGACAGCTTCTCTGTCTATACAGCTCCTTTCCTTCCCCCACATATGTATGTGCCTGGGGTCCAGTCCATGAGGGCTTACAAAAGGCCCACACCACTGGGCTAGTGGACACCACTGAATGAGGAAGAGCAGCAGGCATTGCCATGTTGAATGCACCATTGTCACTCCCAGAGAAAGAATATAGCTCTGCAGGACAGAAACCAGGTTTTAAAGCATCACCAAGAAAAAGGGCGGGGAGTTGGGGAAGGAAAAAATGTATCATCTAAATGACTACGGAACAATTGGAAGCCAGCCTCAAACACTAATTCCTTTTCTTACTTGTTTTCCCTGGCCCAGCCATCCCCTCACCCCTACCCAAGTGCTCCCTGGGGGAGCCCACTCCCTTTACTAAGTGTTGTCCTTAAAGAATCATGGCTGCTGAGTGGAAGCCGACCTGGGCCTTGCCCCAGAATTCTTTCCCTTGTAGCCACAGATGGCTTGTGGGCTCCACCAAAGAGGACTCTGCTCTGTAGCCAGCCCAGAGCCACCTACCTCTGGTCCCAGGCTGTGGGCAGCAAGAGGAATGTGTGTGCACTTGGCAAGACTTCTGCCCACCCTGTCCACATCTAATAAGTGCAATCGTTTTGAGTCTTTCTATGTTGTCTAGAGGGAAGGGTTTTTGTTTTCTGGTTTTGTTATTTTGTTGTTGTTGTTTTTCTCCTCTATTAGAACAACCCTATTTATAGTTGCCCAAGAGAGAAGAGTATATGTTTGGAATGGAAGAAAAAAAGGTTTTGAAATCTCATGAACCTGGAGTGCTGGAGCATCTGATTTATCTCTACTATCTGTCTCAACTCTCCGACCAGTGGCCATCCAGACCTCTAGAGCCCTCAGCTTGGGTAACCCAGGACTGTGGCTCAGAGGCACCAGATGTGTAAGACCATAATTCTGGGGACTATATGAAGCAGGAAGGAGAGGGACCTGTGTTTGATAAACCAATCCTGTTATCCCTGTGCCTCTCAATGGATTTGGTATGGACCTCCTGATTGTAGAGGCCAATGGAATTGGTCAGTGATTCTCCACTCCAAGTAGAGAAAAGCTCCATCTTTTCCCTGTCTTCATCCTGTTTTCCCCTGGTAAACACATGGAAGAGGATCAGGACAAACCCCCTGGGGATGGGCTGACTCAAGGCCTTAAGGCCAGAGAGATGGCTGGGGGAGCCAAGAATAGGACAGTTACCTAGACCTGAAGTTGTTTGCCTGACCTTGGCCATTCTGCCTATCCCTACCTGTTTGCTGTTCCCTCTCGGAGTTGACTTCAAGCCTAGCTTCCTCACGTACTGTTTTTCAAAAGGAAGAAGAATCAAGTCCATGCCCGAGCCCAGATCCTGCACACACTGCACCCTCAGACTACTGCTGCCTGTAAAATTATTTTCTATTTGCTCCTTTTAGTTCCCCTAAAGCTATAGTCTTTTTTAATCAAAGGCTACCAACTGACTCCTAGTGTTTATTTCTAAGTAACTGTCCCAGGTTATTGTTCTCCAAAGAGCCTCAACTCTAAATAAAGGAGTCTGACATCCCCCCAGTCAGTAGCATTCACCAGCCAAAACAGCCTTAGGTAGTAGGGAGCCAATGTCACAGCTAGATCCCCTGACATCCATTAGTCATGGCCCTTAGGTGTGGAATACTTGGCTGCCTTTGTCTCTCTGGGTCAAAGAGGGCGCTTCTATAAAGATCCAAAATGGCTGCTTTCTAGCAGGGAAGTGGTCATTTAATAGGAACATTCATACTTCCCACGAAATGCCAGGAAAACTGCTTTAATCAACTTTGACCATCCTGATTCTCCACCAGAAGCTAGGATAACTTTCTGATTCCTCTCTACCATTTCACATTTCTCTTAGAAAGCTAGTCAGAGTGCTTCTCAATTTATGCCTTCAGGGTCTGGCTTCTCCTTGCTATCTTCTTTTCCTGTCACCACATACATACAAACACATTTCCTCCAATCATTTATTCCATTTTCTGGGACCTGCAAATGATTTCCAGAGTATGGAAAGTTTAGACCACTAGGCTTCTTAACTGATGTCAAGACAGTTCTTGGTGAGCTGGTGAAGACCTGCTAATGTCCACCAAGTTCAATTTGGGTTGTCCAAGAAGGGGGTTAAGAACTCAGGCAAAGCTGCTGCTGAA